CTTTCAATCCCATAATCTGGCTGAACAATTTCGGGGCAAATTGCTGCACATCAGTGTCAAAAGTTATGGGCAAAAAGTTTTATGCAAGCATAAACATAATTTACATCAAGTGACGGCGGCCATCAAAGCAAGGACAAGTGCCGAAGTCCTTGGCGGAAATCACAACTGGAATTCGTGAAAATAATAATTAGGCGCGGTTCCCCTTCACAGGACCTCTTATACAACAAAAGAAGAAGCCGCACTCGGAATTGCAAATGAAGTGTGAACAAGACTTTATATTCGCTCTCTCTTTCACACACACACACACACACCCTCTATCTCTCTCCTTCTCTCCCTCTCTGTCTCGCTCTGTTTAACTTTCTCTGTCTTTTACCATGTGGCAAGACAAAGGCCCACAAAAATGTGTCTTTGGAGACGTTATTAAAAGTTTTCTTCCTTTCTTTTTTTTCTCCCTTTTATATATTTTCTTTTGGCTACTTTTGTGGCCGCCATTTACATTAACAGCCTTTCATCCAGTGTTTGGCCAAAAAATATCAAAATGAAATTGCTGCATAATTTGTACTTTTCACATTTTGCCAACCAGTGTATATATACATATATATATTTTATTTGTGTTGTCAGAGCCGAAAGTTTTCTATTAATTTTGGCAGCGGCAAAGTGTAAATAAATACGAAAGGACGACGCCGAGTTTCTTATCTAAGCGAGCAACGGAGCGCAAACTTAAATTAAAATGTTGGCAGGACATTCGTTGAATTATTCAGTAACTTTTGCCAACTGCTTCTGCTTGATGGCAACTCTTTTATTTCCTTTGCCCATTTAATGTTTTTTTTTTTTTCTTCTGCTTCTTCTTCTACTACTTCTTTCTGTGGCCCAGCAAATGTAAATTTCTTGGCTGGGACGCTAGGTGGTCAACTAATTAAAAATCAACAAACAGCCTTGGGCATCCTTCTTTATTTTTTTATTTTTTGATGACATTTTGATTTTGATAGGGTTTTCCTTCGTTCCCTTCTTGTGAAACGCCAATTTTTTTTCTTTGTTTCCAATGCCTATCGAACGAGCTATTGCCAGCTCTTATGGCTGCACTAGATTTGCATTATTTATAGCATAGGCGCAACACCTTTTTGCTTGTTTTCAATTCAATGTGGAGGCATCAAAACTTTAGCAGCTTTTACATAAATTGACAATGAATTTTGCAATATTTATGTTATTTAACTAATGTTTGTCTGGCTTTTAGCTACTCTCAGATCTGTAGATAGTAAACGTCACTAGTCCGATTCAGTTGGCGAATTGTATGTATGTATGTATTGAGTTTCATTATAAATTCATTGAATTTTAAAATAAGTGAATTGAGAGGAAGATTTTAAGTTCGCACTAGCATATGAAAGATTATCAGTTTGAAATTAATTTTTAAATTAGCAATATTTTAAACATTTAATAAAGTTATACAAATATGTACAATTTTATATTTTATAAGATGCAATAGAAATATATAAATATATATTATTTTATTATTTTATTATTTATTTTACCCTATTCTTTATGAAAACTTTTTAAAAATTTGATAGCAATAAAAATGTATATTATTTGTAATAAAATTTGCAGTTTATAAATAAAAATTTTTTTTTTATAATTGAATTATTTTTAAGGCAGCTTTAGTTATTAAATCCATCCTCTCACTGAATTTTTAGTAGTGATCATCTCATATGCCATGCTTTTACGCAGTTTTTTCGCGTTGTCAAAACGTTTAACCCAAATTGTCGTAAATTTCAGCTGGGGCCTGCTTAAAGTGTAAAGCAGCCTGTCTGCAGGTCGTGGACATAAAAAAAAAACAACGCCAGCTGACGGGCGGACAGCAGGGAGAAATTTCGTGAGACTCGACTCGATACATAACGGCTAAACGGCTGAGGCCAAAAAGTCAACCTCTCTGCTCTTTGCGCACATTTGCCTTTGGGGTCGGTCCCGCTGGGCCTAATGCCGCCCCGGTTGCCGCCACATGTGGCGCTGCAGTTGGCAGAGCTCAACTGTCGGATTGTGGATGCCACACTTGGGGCAGGCCGCTCAATCGGGCTCTCACAGCTGCCGAGCATAAAACACATTTAACCACGGTCAGCTGCCCATTCAAGCAACAGTGGGCTCTATGCCCATGCCATGCCACGCCCCTTTGCTCAGTGGCCCACTTGTTATTTATATTATGAGCACTCAGAGCAGTTGGCTCATTGTCATAAATTTTGCTCAAGTGCTTGCCAGAGGCCGACGCCACCCAACCCCCATGTCGCCCCCCACCCCGCCTGCTTCTATAAAGAGGAATCCGAAAGATTTGCTTCTTGTTGTTCTTCTTCTTGTTTGCCAAGGGCATTCACAACAATAACAACTAGAAGAACAACAATGCGAGGAAAGAACGCCTCTTGGCCAATTTAATAAATTTCATAAATTGTTTATACTTAGCCTTGACTGCAAGTGCGTACGTGTGTGTGTGTGTGTGTATGTGTGTGTGCGTGTTGACTGACATTTTCAAGTGTTCCTTTGACACTCGAGCTCTGTGCCTTAGATGCATTTGAAGTTGAGCACTGAGCACATTACGGGACAACAACAACTTCAACAACTGTTGAATGTTGCAAACAGTGTTGAAAAGTGCTCGAAACTTGAAAACTCATTGAGCTGCGGAAAATACGGATAGAATGTGCGTGACATTTAAACAATAACATTTCAATACCAGTCTTTTGACATTTTTCATATGAATCCATTTTCTTTTAATAATTTAAAAATCGAATTAATAATATATGACGCAAGCTCTGACTTACGGCTGTCTTCAATTGATAAGCTTAGCCTTTTTATCCGATTACATTGTAAGGTGGATCGTTATTCAATTCGTATGTCAAAGGTTGTTATTTCATAACTTTTTCATCGACTGACGTCAATACACGTTTATGATACCGATAAGCGATTAGATAATGCGAAACACAAGCTTTTTTTATTGAGATGAGTGCAGAGCTTGGATAAATTCGAAGTAAATTCAATTGCGAAACAGTTCAAAATGGAAATATATCTCAAGCTGATCATCTTAACATCATTCAGTGTGACCTTTGTGACAATGGAAAGTTTGGTAAGTATTTACACTTATATATTAATTACATATAAATATATCATAGTATATACCATAGGAATGCCAAGCCAATAGAGAACTAGATGCACACTGTGGA